TCTATTAGTGATGCAAATGTGAAGTTATCTGCGCTTGTGAGGAGCATAATAAACATTAAAACCAATTAGAAGTAACGAGTGATAAGTTCCAGTTTCAGAATTCGGCTTTGATGAGTTAGAAAACCATAGGAAGGCAGCATAAGAGTTTGGGGGCAAGAATTCAGCTAACCTGAAGTTTCAGTCTAAATGATTCAGATGCCCAGGGGGGCATCTCTTTGCCTATGGGTGAGGTTTCACAAACTAAAGTAAGTAACTATTTAGATTGCATAATGGTAGAAACCTCCATTTGTTCATAATTCAGAGACAAAGCATATGGACCAGAGTCAAGCAACACAAATAATTTCTCAGAAGTCAACATTAACTTGGTGTTTCAATACAACAAATGTGTCATACTGAATGCAAAACTTTTAATAACAGAAACCGTTACCTTGGCTTTTTTGCAAACTTCTGAAAACAGTTTGTGTAGGAGAGTTTTTACATTTGGAAAATACTCAAAAGCGAATTTTTAGAAGTGTGGAAAAATAGAGGGTGCATTTTTAATACAGAATATTTCATTGTTTCTATCTTGCAAGAAGATGAAGGAACATCATTTTCTATTAGAAAGAAAACTGTCCTTTTGAAATTCAGCTCCCTCAGAAGAATTTTTAAATATCAAACTCTGCCTAACTGGTCCTAGCTTTATGTTTATGAAGAAAAAATTAGAATTTCATGCAGTTATCAAATATTTTAAGCTAATACCCAAGCAGATATATTTGCAACACTTCATGATTTTAAAACAACTCAAACTTATTACTTATTACAACATTCATTCACTGAGTGCTCATTCCCACAAGTGCCCTCTTTAATGCCCCCTGTCCATTTAGCCCATCCCCCCACCCAACACCCCTCCAGCAACCCTCAGTTCATTCTCTGTATTTAAGAGTCTCTTATGGTTTGTCTCTCTGTTTTTATATTATTTTTGCTTCTCTTCCCTTATGTGCATCTATTTTGTATTTTAAATTCTACACGAGTGAAATCATATGATATCTGTCTTTCTCTGACTTATTTGGCTTAACATAATACACTCTAGTTCTATCCACATTGTGGATTGGATTGGAAAAAATTTCATTCTTTTTGATCACTGAATAATATTCTATTCTATATATACCACATCTTCCGTATCTATTCATCAGTTGATGAACATGTGGGCTCTTTCCATACTTCGGCTATTGTCGATAGTGCTGCTATACACATTGGGGGGCATGCGCCCCTTTGAAACAGCACTCCTGTATCCTTCGGATAAATACCTAGTAGTGCAATTGCTGGGTTGTAGAGTAGCTCTATTTTTAATTTTTTGAGGAACCCCCACACTGTTTTCCAGAGTGGCTACACCGGTTTGCATTCCCACCAGCAGTGCAAAAGGGTTCCTCTTTCTTTGCATCCTCACCAACATCTGTTGTTGCCTGAGTTGTTAATTTTAGCCATTCTGACAGGTGTGAGGTACCTCATTATGGTTTTGATTGATATTTCCCTGATGATGAGTGATGTTGAGCATCTTTTCATGAGTCTATTAGCCATCTGGATGTCTTCTTTGGAAAAGTGTCTATTCATGTCTTTTGACCATTTCTTCACTGGATTTTTTTTTTTAGTGTTGATTTTGATAAGTTCTTTATAGATTTTGGATACTAACCCTTTATCTGATATGTCATTTGCAAATATCTTCTCCCATTCCATTGACTGCCTTTTAGTTTTGCTGATTGTTTCCTTCGCTGTGCAGCTTTTTATCTTGATGAGGTCCCAATAGTTCATTTTTGCTTTTGTTTCCCTTGCCTCCAGAGACATGTCAAGTAAGAAATTGCTGCAGCCAAAGTCAAAGAGATTGTTGCCTGCTTTCTCCTCAAGGATTTTGATGGCTTCCTGTCTTACATTTAGGTCTTTCATCCATTTTGAGTTTATTTTTGTGTATGGTGTAAGAAAGTGGTCCAGGTTCATTCTTCTGCATGTTGCTGTCCAGTTCTCCCAGCACCATTTGCTGAAGAGATTGTCTTTTTTCCATTGGATATTCTTTCCTGCTTTGTCAAAGATTTGTTGGCCATACATTTGTGGGGCCATTTCTGGGTTCTCTATTCTGTTCCACTGATCTGAGTGTCTGTTTTTGTGCCAGTACCATACTGTCTTGATTATTACAGCTTTGTAATACAGCTTGAAGTCTGGAATTGTGATGCCTCCAGCTTTGGTTTTCTTTTTCAGGACTGCTTTGGCTATTTGGGGTCTTTTCTGGTTCTATATGAATTTTAGGATTGTTTGTTCTAGCTCTGTGAAGAATGCTGGTGGTATTTTATAGGGATTGCCACATGATTTTTTATTATCTATAGGCAAAAGGTTACCCCCCCCCCCTTTTTTTTTCCCTCTGCCAAAAATCTGTTATTTTGTCTAGCAGCAACTTTAAGTAGGGGGCTGATTTAGGTGGGCTAAGCAAGAGAAAGACTGACCAGACAAGCAGAAGACACTGGTAGAAATGACCTATTGAGCAGCCATGTGGATTAAGAGGTCTATGCTAGACGGAGCCCAAAAGAGCCCAGTTTGTGTCTCACAGTCCAAATTTGGTTGATGTATTTTTGAAGTTTCTAAAGGTTAACTACATGCTATAATACATTATAGAAAGACACAAAGCTGAATTTTACTGTGCCAGTCAAAAGCCTGGCTTGAATCTGCTATTTAGGACTGAGAGAGAGAAAGAGAGAGAGAGAGAGAGAGAGAGAGAGAGAGAGAGAGAGAGAGTATGATTTACATGTGTGAGGATGTGAGAATGATTTTATCTTCTGTTGTTTTTAAAACCACCTTAGGCCATGATTTTTAAATTGAGACACAAGAAGATCTACTGGGGTTCCCATAGCAACATTAACTTATCTAACTGCCCTTGTTGTATGTAATACGTTCATTAGTTTGGCTTTAAATGTACATTTTAATTATGAAATACAACAGAGTGAAGAGTCTCAGGCAAATTTCAACTTTTGGATTATTGACGGAAGCATATTTATTTATTTTTTTTTAATTTTTTTTCAACGTTTATTTATTTTTGGGCCAGAGAGAGACAGAGCATGAACGGGGGAGGGGCAGAGAGAGAGGGAGACACAGAATCGGAAACAGGCTCCAGGCTCTGAGCCATCAGCCCAGAGCCCGACGCGGGGCTCGAACTCACGGACCGCGGGATCGTGACCTGGCTGAAGTCGGACGCCCAACCGACTGCGCCACCCAGGTGCCCCAGACGGAAGCATATTTAAACAGAAACCTTAATATTGTACTTCTGAGGAATTGCTACCAAGGCAAGTATATGCAAAAAGCTTGTGATCCTCCTTGCTCCCACGTCTGACCTCACTGCATTCCATTCGACATAAGATGCCCTAATCTCTCTAAATATATTCATAACATGCTATCAGTAGGATAAAACAGAAACAAAGAAACAAACTTCAGATTGCTCCAATCCAGAGACTAGAACCCAATGTGTCCCCCCCCCCCCGCCTTTTTTTTTTTTTTAATTTATTTATTTTGAGAGAGACAGAGAGTGAGTACAAGCAGGGGAGGGGCAGAAAGAGAGAATCTCAAGCAGGCTCCGTGCTGTCAGCACAGAGCCCGACATGGGGGCTCCATCCCACAAACCGTGAGATCATAACCTGAGTAGAAATCAAGAGTTGGATGCTTAACTGACTGAGCCACCCAAGCGCCCCCCCAAAATGTGCTTTTCTATTCAAAGCTGTCTATAAGCTGACCTCCCTATCTTCTGTCCATGATTCCTCATCTCGAATGGTCCATACCAAACACACTTGTCTTTCATCATCTTCTGAGAGCACATGTTCAAGGACTAGCCTGAAACCCACCTCCCCCAGAATGCTGATACTTCCCCTCTTCTTCCCACCAGCTAATCTTTCTCTCTCTTTGGAACCACTATTGCTGCTGCTACCACTACTACGTGACATGTTTATGACTAGGCAGCATCCCTCTTCTCTTTTTTTGATAACAGGGTCTTCATGCTCCTTTGAGGAACTTTTCTCCACTCCATACATTCAGTCGCATCGTCAGTGAAGCCACCCTGCCCCAACCTGTCAAGAGATGAATCCATGACCCAAGTGGGACCAATCACATTCTTACAGAAAACTGAATTTTAAGTGAATTCAAAAAGGAAAAAACAGTGGGAACTAAATTTTTCCCATGGTGGTCCTTCAAGAGACTATCCATTTCTTCCAGATTTCTGTGGCTCATAACCAAAGTCCACTAACTGATAAGTTCCCTATTTGAGTACCTGTTCATATATTATCAGAGATTGTGATTGAGAGGCTTGGGATGTGCACATTTTTCTTTGCCAGCCAAATCCTATTTATGCTCCCTGAAGACAGGACTGAGTCTTTGTTGTATTACTCCATATAATTTTGCACAATGTAAGTACCCAGTAGATGTTGTATAACAAACGAAAAACCAATCTTAGAAACTCTGTTTTTACAAAGTACAATTTGAAAGCCAACTTATACCCTTTTTGAGGCAAGGTGGTAAATAAATTTTTAATTGCTACAATTTAAGAATTTTCTCGTGTATAGCAGTTGTCTTAAAGAGAGATTACAACTTGTATGCCTAAGAATAGCCTGAAAATAATGTTAGCTTGGGTCATACTTCCCCAATTTTAGGAAAGGAAAGAGAAACTAACATTCTATTTCAGACATTAGTTTCTGAATCAAAAAAAAAAAAAAAGAGTTTTGGGAAAAAACAGACAACAACAAAACAAACACCTTAGTCTTGGTTTTGTGACTGGCCAAGGAAACGAGGAGAGCTGCCTTTCCGTTATCAGATAAGAGAGGAAGAGAATTTAACTGTGTTAGACTAATGTATAAATAGATGTTTTTTTCCCACTTCTAAAAAATGGCAGGGTATAGTTTCTCAGAATCATCTGACTTATATCAGTCATTTAACTGAATGCTTATAAAATTCAAAACAAACAAAATGGTTAGACACAATAAACCCAAACAAGCTTGAGCACAGAATATGGTATACTCTTCCAAATCATTTACAAGTGCTTAAAATGAACAAAAGAGCTCACCCATGATAAACAGCAGGATATACAAATTCTCTTGTCTTCCCTTTCAAAAATGAAAGATTTACAGAAGTCTTTGAATAGTGTAATCCTCTGGTTTGTACCTTAACATGATACATAACTCAGCCATGAGAAAGGAGTGGTGATACCAATTTGGAGGGTTTTTGAGTCAAGTGTAATGGTTTCTGGAATTTGCCTTGAACCCACACTCGGTGCATTTTCACTTGTTTTTTCCTATTAACTTGTAAGCGACGATCAACCAGATTTTGCTTCTCATCTAACCCAGCCTTGCAGAACATAGTGTGGACTTCCCCTGTTGAGACAAAAGTGGCAATCAAATGTATATGTGACTGGGGCTTGGTGGGGGGAAAAGGAGACAGTCAAGAACAATGGGATGACTGACCATCTAAATTTCATTTAAACCAAGAAACTCTCTAGTACAAATTAGTTAAGGAAACCTGTGAAACCAAATAGGTTTCTTCTACTTCACAGAAATATACCAATATACACAGTTTAACATAGCAGGCATAAATAGATATACATTACTTACTACTGGTTGCAAATTTAAGTATTTTGAAAGGTGCCCTCTGTTCTGAGTTTTTGTTAGTTTGCAGAGACCCCAAATGGCACATTTTAAAAGTGCTCACATAAGTTTGGAGAAAATCCTTGCATGCAGAATTCATTTTAAAAGTTTTTTGTTTTTTTTTTTTTTTAAAGGAGAAATTGACAAGAGACAAGTAATTTTCTATGGACTCTTAAAATCAAATTCCCTCCTTTGGCTGTGGTATGTCATCAGCTTCTTCATATCTGGGCTAACAGTACTTCCAAAATGGAACAGACTACATCTTCACTTGGGTATAAGATGAAACAAGCGATTCTTTTAAAGCAGTTTCAGCTGGGAAAAGATTAAAAGGCAAAAAGGCCATTTTCAAGCTTTCATGTAGAACAGCTACAGTGTGGTGACAGACTAACCAAAGAGTTTTTTTTTTTACAGCTAATTATTTCCCCTTATAGATAAGCATACCTTTCGTAAAGAAATATGCTCTGGTACCATCTCCTCGCACATAAAAATTTTCAGATAAGCAATGCCCTAAAAAAAATAATTGCAATCAGAGAAACCTAGTATTCCTTCAAACAAAACAAACAAAAACTTGAAATAAAATATAAACAAAGCATTCTTTAAAACACATGAAAATAACTCTAAACTGAATATACCCCTTTTAAAACGAAGCTGAGTCTTATCATATCTTCCATAGTCCCGAAATAGCAGCATTCCCCCAGGCTTCAGTAACTTGGACAGTCGGTTTATAACACCTTGCATCCTTTGAAAACAAAGCAAGACACTGTTTACAGAAATCTTGTTTTACATGCCACATCCTAACCTTCTTAGAGATAAAATAAGGAAAGCTCGATGGGGCCAAAAAATCTAACCCACAAATATAAGGGCAACAAAAATATATATATTTTGTATAGAAAGGAAAAAGGGTACTAACTTGCTAAATGATAAGAATCAAAAGGCCTAGAGTATCAAGTAATCACCCAAATGACAAGAGTGGTGACTTCAGAGAGCTTGATATATGATGTCAAAGCTGCCCCGCAAAACCACAGATGGCTCCTGATATTTACATCAAGTTAAGGTAGTACCAAGGCAGATAAACACTGAAGTTGCTTCATTTTCCTTGAAGATAAAAAAATATTGTAGAGCTATTCCAAATTGCACATGTCTAAACAGAGATCATCTTTCCTCCCGGACTAGCTCCTTCTCCTTTATTTCGTTCAAAGGTACCATCATTCATCAAAGTGTTAACACCTCAGAGACATCCTTAACCCCTTTCCTTTTTCTCCTCTTCCACTAACCTCCCCATAACCATCTAGTCATCCAATTCTAGGTGTTCTTTTTTTAACTGATGGCTTTTTTCTCTTTTTTTGTTTCCCTTTGGTGCTCCTTTAGTACAAACTTCTACCTCCTTAGGCCTGAAAACACACTACTTCTTAACATGCTTTATTATTCCCCTTGTTAAGTCTTCCTGTATATTACTGACGAATTATTCCGCTTAAAATGATGGTTTTGTCAAATCATCCCTTTGCTCAAAAATGTTCATGATTTTAACCCATAGGATAAAATCTTAATTTCTTAGTTGGGCCCTTGAGATCTCCTACAACTGGTCTCAATCTCTCTAACATCTTTACCATTACTTCTCAATGTGAAGCATCAACTCTCGCCAAACTGTTATATGCTTGGCTCTGAAGCAGTCCATGCCTTCGTTCACATGGTTTCCCCTCAAAGAACTCTCTCCTTCTTACTTTCTGCCTATTTAAATTCTATTCACACTCCACCCCCAGCTCAATACTGGGAAGCCTTTACTTTCTTTCTTTTATTATTTATTCTTTTCATTTGGCTCTCAATCAAATATGACCCCTTGTGACTGCTCTTGACTTAATGTTTTTGGTTAAGTTTATGGTCTTATGTGTGATTATGGGCCAGAGATGGCAAAGATTTCAGATCTCATATTAATGCCAAGTGACTGACATTGGCTGCCTACAGAGCTCTATTGAGAAGGGCTCTTAGGGCTCACTGGGAATGACAATCAGGGTACAAAATCAGTTATCAGTGTCTGCCCTGAGCAGAGAATGGTAAATGGCAGCCTGTGTGCTAAGTCCTCCCCATCTCTGCTTCATCCATGCTACTTAAAGCTTCTAGATTTTTCTTATTTTAAAAATGAGGGTTTTAGATTAGATAATCTGTAAATCCTTCCAGTTAAAACACTGTTCAGTGGAATAATGGAGTGAAAAGCCAAATTTATGTCAGGTTTTGAAGGAAGTAGTGAGGAAATTAAAGTAACTATGAAAACAAGACAGAAATATAACAGAAAGAGGTGGCATAATTAGATGAAATGCTCTTTTAAAAAACTGGAACATAAGTACATGAAAGGGAAAAAAGAAAAATATTTTTCCTTGTTTATTTTATTACAGGTTATTTTCACACTGTGCTTATGGCCTTAGGCTTTGGCAATTAAAGAAAACTGTATCTAATCCTTAAAATATCCACTTTCAGAAGAAATGTTTTATGTACTGAGAAAAATATCTTTCTGCAACGATTACTAAAACAAGCATGAAACAAAGATACAGAAAAACAAAGGGCCAAATACAGCCATCTCCGTCTGCAAATCCTTTCTTCCCAATTATCCTTTAATGTCTGGGGTTGTGAGTAAAGGCAAGGGTGGGGAGCTGCTTTTCTTCATCATCCCATCTTGCTTGGCTCGGCGCCAACTTCCAGAGCCACTTCCTGAGAACTGTCGGTGGGAGAGGGCTGGGGGAGATGGACAAGACAATAATGGGTGAAGGCTCCTTTTCTTTCTTTATTCCATTCAGGCCAACTCTGCTATCCTCATCTACCTCTAGTTGGAGGGTGAGGAAAAGGAAGAAGAGATTTTAAAAAGGAGTGTTTATTGACTACCTACTCTCTGCTTGGATCTGTGGTAAACATATTATACTGTATTTTATTTTAATGATAAGGACAGTTAGCTCTTCTTTTGTAGCCTCCTGTGGTTTATTCCCATTTAGGCTAGGATGCCCAGACTCAAGGTCTAGCAGAATCGCTTGCCATTCGTTTGTGCATGGATTTTCCAAGCTGTCAAGAAGACACTTTTCCAAAACTTTCACGGGGCTGAATATATCACTGTCCCAAATGACTCTAAAGATACTGTCCTGCCTTTTCACTTACTACTGCCCTCCTTCTACGCATTCACCCTTTTTTTAGGTCATTTAGACCATTTTAGGCAAAAAATGGCTAGGGACATGATACATGTAAATTTACTTTATAATAATTACATAGAATGAACATACTATAGAATGACAGTAATCCTTCCAAGACATCTTCTTCCCCTTCTTTTTAACATTCAGTTCAAATCATAAGAAAATACATTATCTAAACTAAATTCAAGTAGTGGTTTTGTGGTCTTATTTGGAATTTAAACACTTCCTGTTACAGGTGTCAAATAGAAAATCTTGTTCTCTATCCACCTACTCCATCCTTTTAGCTATTCATTCTTTTAACTATGAGACAAAATACATAGATGACATCTTTCTACCAGTACCTGAATAATGCCAATATTCTACCCAGATTAGTAGAAAGACATAGATTATAGAAACTGGGAGGAAATGTAGCTTCATGGAATGTGATATATCTCACCAGGTACAAATATGTTTCATTCAGATTTATTTGAAAATTTAATTTGTCTTTCAAAAAGCAACCAAAAAGCTCATCTCTAAATGGAAGTAAAAGGACCGTAAAGGGTCTTAATGATTTTATAATTGCAAAGGAAAACGCACACATTAACCCACTTTCTTTGGAAAAGTGTCACACTCATCAAAGAGTGGTTGGTATCAAGTCTGTATCTACCAGCAGAGGAACATTCCTGGAGCTAAATCTACTACCAGAGCAGAAAACCCAATTTTAAGAAAACTTACAAATGCACAACCCTTGACACCACACGTGTCTTAATATACATGAGGTGGCAAAATTCTAAGAGAAGTGATCATTTTAATAGCTGGTAATATGTCTTTCTACTTCCTCTCTGAACAAAAGCTATGTTTACTGTTTCAAAACATTGTGTGAACAGGGCGCCTGAGTGGCTCAGTCAGTTAAGCGTCCAACTCTTAATTTCAGCTCAGGTCATGATGTCGCGGTTCATGGGATCAAGCCCTGTGTCAGGCTCTGCACTGACAGTGTGGGGCCTGCTTGGGATTCTCTCTCTCTCCTCTCTCTCTCTCTCTCTCTCTGCCCCTCTCCCACTACCACTCTCTGTCCCTCTCAAAATAAATAAATAAACTTAAAAAAAAAAACACTATGTGAACAAAAAATCGAAGTCATAAATATTTAAATGACGGCATTAGGCCAACCTTAGATTATAAAGGTCCAAGGTTAATCTGGCAAATCTTGAGTACCCCTAATTCCCTAGAGGGCTCTTTAAAACACATTCTTTTTTATTAGTTTTCTTTATTTTTGAGAGGCAGAGAGAGACAGAGCATGTGTGGGGGAGGGGCAGAGAGAGAGGGAGACACAGAATCCGAAGCAGGCTCCAGGCTCCGAGCAGTCAGCCCAGAGCCTGATGCAAGGCCCGAACTCACGAACCGAACTGTGAGATCATGACCTGAGCTGAAGTCAGACGCTTAACCGACTGAGTCACCCAGGCGCCCCTAAAACACGTTTTTTTAAAGTCTTGTGACAGACTGGTATGAAGCCAAACAGATTCACAACCCACCTCTTCACGAACATTCAGTAAGATGCTAAATCAAAGAAAGATGTTTGTTTCTGATCACCAAGTACAATTTCCCTCTTGGGAGTCTATTAGGCTGTTCTGAATTTGTAATCTCCTTAAAGCACTGTCACTTTTAATAGGTATGTGTCTTGCCAGAATATGCTCACTTCACTCTGACAGTGATAGAAAGCTCACTAATGAAGCAGTTTGACCGGTTTCTTTCTAAAAGTCTGAATGAAGAAAGGAAAAACTGCACTTAAAAGGCTGCATGTTATATATGGTATAGTTCACTAAATAATAAAGTTAAGAATTGTCACTTTTGATAGTTCTGAAAACCACGATTGATAAAGGTGCTTTACACATTTGCTTTGCCCTTTCTCGTGTCTTCAGTTACCTGTCAGGATGAATAGAAGAGAGCACAAAGACAAGGAGAATGACGTCCAGGATCCCATCTGGAAAAGGGTACGGTGAATCTTCATCACAAACATCATGAACAAAGGCACAACACTGAGCTGCTCTGTAGGATGAGTGCAACTATCATGATAAAGGAACAATAATAATAAAAAAGCAGTTAGCAGACTTTTAGCATTTTTCTTAAAATAAAGAGGTCAAATTTTATATTTCTCCCTAGTGTCTTCCCTCTGTAAATATGAATGCATTTTATTTCAGATTCCATATTCTGTTAGCTTATTTCAAGCTGCCATAAAAAAATTAAGTCTAGCACTTGGACTCAACAACAAGTATTCTTCACAATCCCTTTTTAATTTTTTTTTTTTAATTTTTGTTTTCAACGTTTATTTATTTTTGCGACAGAGAGAGACAGAGCATGAACGGGGGAGAGGCAGAGAGAGAGGGAGTCACAGAATCGGAAACAGGCTCCAGGCTCTGAGCCATCAGCGCAGAGCCTGACGCGGGGCTCGAACTCACGGACCGCGAGATCGTGACCTGGCTGAAGTCGGACGCTTAACCGACTGCGCCACCCAGGCGCCCCAATCCCTTTTTAATTTTAAAAGTGGAATAGGGCAGGCTTTTGAGGCAGCGTTGCTGGAAGTCTACCCTATGTGATTTCGGAGGCACTGAGAGGGAGACCTGTTTTCTCTCCCACTGCTTGTCCATGCCTCCTTTGGCTTAAGATACAAATATCCTCTAATACACAATCAGATAATAGTAATGACTGTACAACTCTGTAAATATACTAAAAATCACTGAATTGTATACTTTATTGTTTGAAAGAGATAGAGAGAGAGTGAGCATACAAGCTGGAGAGAGGGGCAGAGGGAGGGAGAGAGAGGGATAGGGAGAGAGAGACAGAGAGAGAGAGACAGAGAGTCTTAAGTAGGCTCCGAGCCCAATTTGGGGCTTGATCCCACAACCCTGGGATCATGACCTGAGCTGAAATCAAAAGAGTTGGATGCTCAACTGACTGAGCCACCCCAGTGCCTCTGAACTGTATAACTTTAAAATGGTGAATTTCATGGTCTGTGAACTATATCTCAATAAAGCTGTTATTTTCAAAAAATTAGAGCAGGGGTGCCTTGGCTGGCTCCGTTGGTGGAGCATGTGGCTCTTGATCTCAGGGTCATGAGTTCGAGCCCCATGTTGGGTATAGAGATTACTTAAATAAATAAACTTAAAAAAAATAAATAATGAAAAAATTAGAGTATACACACACACACACACACACACACACACACACACACACACAAATGCACATGCACACAGTTTGAGTACAAAACAACACTAGAAGCATATATACCAAAACAGTAACCTCAATTCACCATAGGATTCTAGGAAGTGTGATTATAGGTGAATTTTATCTTTCTCTTTAGGTTTTTTAGTATTTTAGAAAATGTCTACCATGAATAACTATTACTCTTGTTATCAGAAATTAAGTTCCATCTATTGACTACACATTTCTGTTAGCAGAATTTCCTTTCCTTTCCCATTTCCTAAAAGTACTTTTTGCTAAGGTAATGCTTACTAGCTTTTGGGGATTGGTCAAACAAACCCAGGCTCCCCACTGTTTTCCAAATAGTCCAAGACATTTTACATTTGTATCATATACTTTCTCAAAATTTGTTTTACTTTCAAAAGTTTCAATTTAACTAGTGCCTACTGTGTGTCAGTCTGTGCATAGGGCTCTGGGGACATAAATATGAATAAGATCACCTCATAGGACCTGCTGACCTTTCTAGGTGTACCAGTCCCTTCATTTTTATTTCATTTTATTTTCCTTTTTTCCCCCAGCTTTATTTTGAATTCAAAATAACTTCTATCATTTTAGGGTAATATTTAGGCATCAGGTAATGATGTGATTCCCAGAATTAGTAAAAGCTCAGTTAAAAATGGTTACGGATAACACTGAAACATTTAAAAAATATCACTTCAACAACAAATAAATTATATCCTTACATGGCTCTCTTTAAAGAAAATATGAGGCATACCTTTACTAGTTCCACAGCTCCGGAAGCAAAATCACAACAATAAAGAAAGGACTCTGGAGCATTCCTATGAAAATGGAAGAGATATTTAAATCTAGAGTTCACATATGCTCAGGTTACAAAAGAAAGGAAACTGTAGGCTTGAACTTGTTAAAAGGTATTTCTTTAATAAAATTTTGGATGACACCTGGCTTACTGTTTCTCCTTTTAGATGGTGTTCTCTATAATGGTGTATGGGTGCCTTCATGGTACTTCTGAAACAGCATTGTCTCAAATACTTATTAATTACAAGGTAACTTTCAAATTCCTGTCCTGGTTTTTTTTGTGTTTTTTGTTTTTTTTTGTTTTTTGTTTTTTAATTTTAGAGAGAGTGTACACGAGTGAGGGAGAGGGATGGAGGGGGAGAGAGAGAGAGAATCTTAAGCAGGCTCCATGCTCAGCACAGAGCCCGACACAGGGCTCCATCCCATGACTTGAGCCAAAATCAAGAGTTGGACGCTCAACAGACTAAGCCACCCAAGTGCCCCTTCCTGTCCTGGTTTTAAAGCTCTCCGTTGCTTGGGTCTACCTGCCTTACGTCCCATCACACTCTCACACAGGAACCCTCCAACGCCCTCCATCATCATTGCTCCATCTTCCTCCCCCTCAGTCTTTCTTCTGTGCCTCCAGCCAGCAGGGCCTATAGTTCCTTGTTGCCTAGTCAAGTGCTACCCTTGTGCAAGGATGCTCAGACCCTTGTGTTCTTTGGTGCTTCAGTCCCCTTTCTGTGTGTACAACTCATTTGGTTCTTGAGCTTCTCACAGAGGCTCTGATGCCCTAATGGGACAGGAATACATATGTATTTTAATAGCATGTAAATACAACTTCTAAAAAAGAGTAAAAAAATACTAATATATTAACTCTTAGTTATCTTTTCAAGTTTTTTCCAACATTTATTAAGACTCACGTATGTACCAAGAATTAGAATATAAGTTAGTAAATGAAATTGTCCAATAAAATAGTAAGAGTATGGATTTTGAAGCCAAACAGACCTGCGTTTAAGTCCTGAATTTGCCATTTATTAACTCTGTGAATTTGACTCATCCTCTCTAAGACTCAGTTACTTTATTTACAGATGTAAATAAATACAGTTATTTTTTGGTTGGAGGATGTTTATTCATATAAAAGTCTTGAGTAATCTTAATTGGCCTCCACTGAACTTAGACAAGTTCTATTTCGCTTTTTACCTGAAATTCAGTAACAATGTCTGGACCATGGTTACTCACGGGCATGCATATACTTTGAATTTTGTGGGTCAGTACTCTTCCCGGTCATCCCTCATATGCTTGTATCAAATAATTACTGCATCATGTTGCTTAGCACCAAGCCTGAGTCACAGAGACTGGCATGTTATGAAACAACAATTATAACTATAGTTCTGGCTCCTGTGGGTTTTATAGCCTAGTTGGGGATATGATTGGTTTTATCTAGCTTCTACAGGGTTATGGATAGGGCAGACTTCCTAAGTCTTACCTAAGGTGTAAGTTTTAACAATTCTGAAGAAGGGGGATAGCAATGCTGAATGGGGAGAAGGATAAATGGTATAGGGCTTAAAGGTGGGAGTCATGTGCCAAGGATGAGAAGCAGAGTTGATCCTGAGAGCTCAAACCAGTATGTGGCAGGATATACAAGTGGGCCGTGAAACACATAATTAGAACTTTGATTCAGGAGACATTTCAAGCAAGGAAAACTACTAAATAAATATGGGATACAAGCACAAATATGAATTCCACAAATAAAATCTCACCCAGGCTCAGATAATACTCTTAAATGCTACTCATGGATGAGTACTATGAGAAGGAGTCCTTCATTCTGTGGCATTTGGAGATTTGCATTCAATTTAAGATCTGTCCAAATAAGTTAAAGTACAATGAACAGGATTTGGTTATGACTTGCACTGCTTGTTTTTTTTCGTCTGTCCCAAATAAAAACAGTATTTAGGGGCACCTGGGTGGCTCAGTCGGTTGAGCGTCTGACTTCGGCTCAAGTCATGACCTCACAGCTCATGAGTTCGAGCCCCACGTCGGGCTCTGTGTTGACAGCTTGGAGCCTAGAGCCTGCTTCAGACTCCGTGCCTCCCTCTCTCTCTCTGCCCCTAACCCACTCGCATTCTGTCTCTGTCTCTCTCAAAAATAAATAAACATTGAAAAAAAACCAACAGTGATTTATTGCAGCCTGTACCCCTATTGCTTCCTATGAAATCCATATATTCATGATTCTTAATTTGCTGGGTGGTCATATGTGTTTGAAAATTTTCCGTAAGCACTCAGATGCACGATGTAATATGATGGCTAAGGGCAAGGGCTCTGGAACCAAACTGTCTATGGTTTGAATCCTGGCTATACCACTTAGTTGTGTGACCTTGGAATAGTTACTTAATCTCTTTGTAATCCTGTTTCCTCATCTATAAAGCAGAGATAAATATGGCATCTAAGGTCACTGTGAGGATTGAAGGGATTCTTAGAAGTTTCTAGGAAGGTTCCTAACTCAGAGTAAGCACCTAATAAATGTTAGTCATTATTATAATTGTTGTTGCTATTGCTATTATTACTATTATCATATTATAGGAAGATTTGCCTTTGCCTTCTAGGAACTTAAAAACTTAAGAAATTATCATGGTTCTATAAAAACTTCCATATAACTCAAAATGCTTCTCTGGACACTGGCACATCTAGCTCATTATAAAAGGTATGCAGTCAACCTTTGGGCAGTGGCTACTAAACACCCACAAGATATAGAGCAGTCTAGCAGTTAAAGAAAGTATGTGCCATTTGCCATGTGGTCCTACCAGGACAGCAGCATGACCTCTGAGACTGAATTCCCATGCATCAGCAGCCCAAGTTGAAGTCTTGTGACCACCCAATGACTTTCCAGAGCTTTTCTGTAAAATCAGCTGACTGCCTTGGCCCTTCTCCCAGCAAGCAGGTGTAAATATCACTACTAACACCACACCACAAAGCACTACCTTGGCAGGGGGTTTAAGAATTAAATGATCCTTGGAGAATGATATGACCTCTCAATTCCAGAGGTCTAATTATGGTAAAATATTCTGAAAATGTAAAACACTAATCCTGTACTCTCCAAAAGTAATAAAACATAATTTCTTAGGTGGGAAAAAAAGTCTAATCCTCCCTTTGGAAGGCTAATCACTGACTGCCTTTTAATGATGAATTAATTATCTTGCGTTATCGAACTACAATGACTTTTTTTTAAAAAAGACAGAGCCACGAAGAATCAGGGAGCAAGGAAGCAAAAGATTGCAATTATTAGCTGGAGGGAGAAGTAAAAAGGGAAAAATATTACTAACAAGTGGGGATTCAGAGATATTAGTCAATATGTATTGAGCTCTAACTATCTGTATTATACTGTTGAGCTACCTGGAAAATCAGATTAGGGTAAAATATGCTTTCTACCTCAAGGAATACAAGCAGTGGCTGGAGACACAAGACATAAAGAAATGACATGCTAAATAATACCTTGGGATGAGTCATAAAGTAACACATTATCAACTGCCAAGGTAGTAAATTTCTGTGTACCGTAAGCTCAGAGATAACTTGGGTGAAGGAAACTGGCTACGTGGTATAATAAAACAGGAAACACTGGCCCAGAAATGAGGAAAAGGGAAAACAAAGAGAATAAAGACAAAAGGAGAAAGGCCATTCAGACCTGCAAATGTGCAGTTCTATCACTTCTGCCTGGCCACTTTAACTGGTAATCTGATGGTATTTGGAAATTACTATTTACTATGTTAGTAATGAAGAATATCCTGATTTTTTTGGCACTACATCATAAGTATTTAAAAATAGTGTCCTGGGGGCACCTGGTGGCTCAGTTGGTTAACTGTCCGACTAATGATCTCAGTTCAGATCTTGATCTCAGGGTCATGAGTTCAAGCTCCATGTAAGGCTCCACACTGGGTGTGAAGCCTACTTACTTACTTACTTACTTACTTACTTACTTACTTACTTACTTACTTTATTTATTTATTTATTTATTTATTTATTTATTTATAACATTTATCTATTATTGAGACACACAGAGAGACAGAGCATGAGCATGGGAAGGGCTGAGACAGGGAGACACAGAATCCGAAGCAGGCTCCAGGCTCGGAGCTGTCAGCACAGAGCCTGACGTGGGGCTCGAACCCACAAACCGAGAGATCATGACCTGAGCCAAAGTCAGACGCTTAACCGACTGAGCCACCCAGGCGCCCCTATGTGAAGACTACTTTAAAAAAATAAAATAAGGGGCACCTGGGTGGCTCAGTCGGTTGAGCATTTGACTCTTGATTTTGAGTCAGGTCATGATCCCAGGGTTGGGCTCCACACTGAGCGTGGAAGCCTACTTAGGATTCTTTCTCTTTCTTCCTCTGTCCCTTCCCCCTGCTCACAAGTTCTCTCAATAAAAATAAAAATAAAAATAAAAATAAATAAAGAAAAAAAAAGTGTCATAATGTTGGCATTGTGTTAACTGTTAAATTGAGGTGGCGGGTATATGAGAATTCATTGTATTACAAGGAAACACTAAAAAAATAGCATCATTAGAATTTAAAATACACATAAAGACTGAAAGGAATTATAACAAACAGTAGCTATGTTAGGATGATGGGTGATTCCCACCCCTCTGTCCTCTAATGGAAATGTTCTGCAATGTGCTCATGTTGATTTTATAATGGAAAAAATAATGTGAAAGTTATTGTATAAACTTAAAAAAAAAAAAAAACAGAGGGGCACCTGGGTGGCTCAGTCAGTTGAGCATCCGACTTCAGCTCAGGTCACGATCTCACAGTTTGTGAGTTCGAGCCTTGCATTGGGCTCTGTGCTGACAGTGCAGAGCCTGGAGCCTGCTTCACATTCTGTGTTTCCTTTTATCTCTGCTCCTCCCCGACTTTTGCTCTGTCTCTCTCTGTCTCTCAAAAATAAATAAAATGTAAAAAAAGAAAAAAAAACTAAAAAAAAAAAAACACTAAAAAAAAAAAAAAAAAACCCAAAACAGAATAGGTAAAAGGTGCTATAAAAGCTTTGTAAGAAGTGTCTTCATCATGGAAATACCACAACATATACGTGAAGCAGTGAACAGGAAGGATGTGTCAGGAAAACACCTCTGTCCCTATCATCTCTGTCTGCTTTTTTGAGTTTTAGTCTAGTCTTAGACTAGTTGCTGTTACCTTCAAACATTTTCAAGTTATTTGACAAAAGAAGGTCTTCTACTGGGTGTGGCTCCAGAAGTGATGACAAAATGAGGGTTAAGAATAAGCTTTAAACTCAATTCTGTGTGTGTAAAATGGCACCTACATACCTGGAGGAGCAAATCGATTTCTGAAGTTAGCAATTCACAGCTTCGTGGAAGGGTCAAATCCCTTGCTCTTTTCTTATTCTCTCATCCATGCAAACACAAGCTTTAAAAATTACTTTGACCCATGGTGGACAACCCATAGCTGTGAAACATTCTTTTCATAGTAATTCCTTGTTTACGTGAAATTAGACACTGAAACAATTATTTGAAATTTGCTTCAGTGATTGTTTATATGAGAATAAAAACACTACCAGCATACACGTGACATTTTCCCAGAATTTCTGAACACCCCATACATATGTAAAATTTTGTAGGAGAAAACTTTAAAACTCACTGTAAAGTGTTCAAAATTGGAAAAACACTATTTCCAGCACCACAGCCAACCTAAAAAATTGAAAGAATAAACAAATATCATGAAAAGAAGGTTAAATTTTCTTCACCAATGTTAGATTTTTTTCATTAAAAAAAAAAAACTAGAATAAATTTACTGGATCTCTAGGTGTAGGAGAGTTTTCTAAACTCAAAAGCAAAGGAATAAGCCACAAGAATAACACTGATTAATTTAACTATGGAAACATGTGAAATTTTTATACACCAAAACTCAAACCAAATTAAAAGGTGACCAATGCACTATGAAAAAAAATTGGCAATAAATATGATAAAAGGGTAGAATTCATTAAAAAAACAGTAACAGATAAATTAGCAAAGGAAATAAATAGAACACAAAAGAAATACAACTGTCTTCTAAACATCTGAAGAACTATCTGACCTAGTTAGCAATCAAAGAAATGCAAATTAAAACAAGGTGTAATTTTCATCTGTCAAAAAGGAAAGCACTTAAGTAAGAATATTCTAACCAATGAGAGTGTGATGAAACAGACATATATTGCTGTGAATTGGTATTAATACAGCTTCTTAGAAAATTATTTGGCAATATATTTTAAGAGCACTAAATTTATTATTTTATTATTTTTTTAAGTTTATGTATTTATTTTGAGAGAGAGAGAGAGAGAGAGAGAGAGAGAGAGAGAGAGAATGAGAATTACAAGGGGTCTCCACGCTGTCAGCACAGAGCCAGATGCAGGGCTTGATCCCACAAACCATGAGATCATGACCTGAAATCAGGAGTCGAATTCTCAAATGACTGAGACACCCAGGTACCACTAAGAGCATTACATTTTTATTTATTTTTTTTAAAAAATTTTTTTTCAACGTTTTTTATTTATTTTTGGGACAGAGAGAGACAGAGCATGAACGGGGGAGGGGCAGAGAGAGAGGGAGACACAGAATCGGAAACAGGCTCCAGGCTCCGAGCCAACAGCCCAAAGCCTGACGCGGGGCTCGAACTCACCGACGGCGAGATCGTGACCTGGCTGAAGTCGGACGCTTAACCGACTGCGCCACCCAGGCGCCCCCATTACATTTTTAAAATAAATTACGAATTAGTAAATCTGACCCAAGATAATAAAAGAAATACAGAAAAGTCTATACCCAAAGATATTTTCTGTAGAAAACTTGAAAACAATTTAAATGCTCAGTACTGTAAAAACAGATAAGCAGAATTAAAGTACTCCACATAATAAAATATTTTGCAGCCACAAAAATGTTTATAGAGAATTTTTAAGATAGAAAAAACTGCTTATGATATAATGTTAAATAGAAATAAACCAAAACCTCAAAATACAGGTACAGTATAGCTCAACTATATAAAATAGTATAAATGAAAAAAAAAAGTTAGTAAAATGTGAAGAGTGGTTAAATCCCTTGTATAGATACCTTTATAACCAAAAGGAGGAGATTTACTTTTTTTTTTTTCAACGTTTATTTATTTTTGGGACAGAGAGAGACAGAGCATGAGCGGGGGTGGGGCAGAGAGAGAGGGAGACACAGAATCGGAAACAGGCTCCAGGCTCTGAGCCATCAGCCCAGAGCCTTGACGCGGGGCTCGAACTCACCGGCCGCGAGATCGTGACCTAGCTGAAGTCGGACGCTCATCCGACGGCGCCACCCAGGCGCCCCGAGATTTACTTTTAAAAACAGAAAGTCAAGGGGCACCTGGTGGCTCAGTTGGTTAAGTGTCCAACTTCGGCTCAGGTCATTCTCTCACAGTCCTTGAGTTCGAGCCCCATTTTGGGATCTGTGCTGACAGCTCAGAGCCTGGAGCCTGCTTCAGATTCTGTGTCTCCCTCTCTTTCTGCCCCTCCCCTGCTTGTGCTCTTGCTCTCACTCTGTCTCAAAAAGAAATAAATACATTAAAAAAAAAAAAAAAAAGAAAGAAAGAAAGTCAAGGTCTACACTGGATTATAGCTAATTATATCTCACTTATTTCTATTTCACTTAAAAAGGGGTAATAACAGAAAGAGACAGAAATTAAGGCCAAAACTTTACTGGTATTGAAAACTGCCTTCAAATTAGAAATGAAAACAAATTAAAAAAAAAAATTAAAATCACAAACTTAGAGCCTGATTATACATGTGAGTCCCTTCAATATTTTTTATGCACAAAGGCATACTGAACCCTTTTCTAGTTAGATTTGATCATTATTCCCCCTAAAAAATCTGGATCATTAATAAAGTAATATGCAATATACATTTTAAAATTATTTGCCACCTCCCATCTTTGCCCCTGTAGGACAGTACCTCAAGGATTCTGAAAGTGGCACTGCTACCAGGAAACAATTCGGTCTTCAGAGGTCCTTCGCTGTGTTCTTCAGAGTCTAGGTTGGAAAAATGAGACCTTGCTTTGCTTGGACCATCTGATGAACCACACCTTTTCATACCAAGATTTTTTTCTTCAGGCATAATAGGGCAGTGCGTTCTTGAGAAACAATTTGCAGCACCAGTTTTCACATTATCCCATGATGATTCTTGTGTCTTCTCTTCAGTTTTTTGATCAACTGGAATAATTTCAGGAAATTCCCTCAACAGCCAATTACGATCCTTGAAAAACTTATTCTTATGAATCTTATAAAATGTATCCCAATATTGACTAGCTTCATTCTCATACTTAACTAAAATAAAGAGAAAAAAAAAAGATTTATTTTACTATAAATGATGTTTACTATTAGTTACTACTTTAATAACTAAATATATTTAATAATTAAATACTGTTAAATATATTACATCCATTTATAACAATTACATTTACTACTGAATAACTTTAATATTATAATTTTTATTTATCTGATTTTTTTTTTTTTTTGGCCTCTTACAGGTTAAAACTACAGAGTATTATTTTTCTCAAAATGTGTCAGTGTATGGGGTATTTAGTTCTATCCCCTACAAATCTGCTTGTGACTTAATAGTTTGGCCAATACATTTTTGTGAGGAATATAATCATTGCAAACTACTTTTTATAGTTTAAATCTTGAATTTATTTTTATTTATTTTTTTTAAGGAAGATAGATTTAAAAAAGTTTTTTAATGTTTATTTTTGTGAGAGAGAGCACATGTGTGCACACAGGCACAAAGGGAGGAGGGGCAGAGAGAGGGGGAGACAGAGGATCTCAGGAAGGCTCTACATTGACAGCACAGAGCCTGATGAGGGGCTTGAACTCATGAATCAAGAGATCATGATCTGAGCCAAAGTTGGAGGCTTAACCAACTGAGCCACCCAGGTGCCCATAGATTTTTTTTTAAAGTTTATTTATTTCTTTTGAGAGAGAGAGAGAGAGAGAGAGCGCACACACAAGCAGAGAAGGGGGAGAGAGAAAGAATCCCAAGCAGCCTCTGTGCTGTCAGTGTGGAGCCCAATGGGGGGCTTGAACCCACGAACCATGAGATCATGATCTGAGCTGAAATCAAGAGTCAGACACCAAATGAGCCACTCATTTAGGCACCCCTAAATCTTGGATTCTTAATACTTACATTTTTACCAATAATTGTAGGACTCTTAGAGAAAGGACACCATTTTTTATGTCTCTGTATATGCAGTTTCAACACAATGAATATCTTGGTAATCAGACAGGAAATTGCAGAATTATAAATTACACAATGTTAGAGCCAGAATGGCCCATTGAAATAATCTACTCCCAACTCCCTTGTTTTGCGTTTGAACAGAAGATAGCACAGATATGAACCCACTTGTTCTAGGCCCTAGAGCCCAGTCACAGCAGAGCTAGGACCACCTATCTTAACCCCTGGAGCTAAGAGCCATCCCATTCTCCCCCTCCCTCCAGAGCAATCTCTTCCTGTTGACATCTCCTACTATGAAACCTTAAAGAGATATGCCTTTTTAAAGGAAATTTGCGTTTCGTGATGTTATCCCTTGGATTTCCCTCTGTCCAGTGTCAGCGTTAGTTCAACCATCTCAGAACTTCAGACAATTCTTAGCTTTCTGCCTCTTTTTTTTCTTAGCCTTACTTATTTATTTTTTGAGAGAGACAGAGTGAGCGGGGGAAGGACAGAGAGAGAGAGGGAGTGAAAGAATGTCAAGCAGGCTCCATGCTGTGGAGAGTCTGTGTGAACATGCACTGCAGAGTCTGATGTGGGGCTCAAACCCACAAACCATGAGATCACGACCTGAGCGGAAACCAAGAGTCGGACGCTTGACCAACTGAGCCACCCAGGTGCCCCAGCTTTCTGCCTCTTTTTATTTGTACCTTAAATTAATAAAATAATTCACTCACTCCTTCACTCAACAAACATTTCTTGGACACTGTTATGCATGTACCAGGCCTAATCCCTGGGTTAAGAATTATTCTCACCTGGGGCACCTGGGTGGCTCAGTTGGTTAAGTGTCCAACTTCGGCTCAGGTCATGATCTCATGGCTTATGGGTTCTAGCCCCACATTGGGCTCTGTGCTGACAGCTCAGAGCCTGGAGCCTGCTTTACAGTCTGTGTCTCCCTCTCCCTCTGCCCCTCCCCTGTTCGTGCTTTCTCTCAAAAATAAAATAAACATTAAAAAAAAAAAGAATTATTCTCACCCAATATAGACACATGACCTTTTTATTTATTTTTATTTTATTTATTAAAAAAAATTTTTTTTAATGTTTATTTTTGACAGAGAGACAGAGCATGAGCGGGGGAGGGGCAGAGAGAGAGAGGGAGACACAGAATCTGAAGCAGGCTCCAGGCTCCCAAGTTGTCAGCACAGAGCCCGATGCGGGGCTGGAACTCACAGACCATGAGATCACGACCTGAGCCAAAGTCAGTTGCTCAACCGACTGAACCACGTAGGCGCCCCGACACATGACCTTTTTAAAGTGCTTTCAAAGAATAAAAAGATCTTCTATTGATATAATTTCCAAGATCTAATGTTGGGCAAAAAAGCAAAGTGTAGCACAGTATGTATATGATACAATCATTTGTTAGGAAAAATGAAGATAAAGAACACATGTGTGTGCATACACAGAAACATAATGCATACACACACACACATATATGCTTGTATACTTACAGAATACCTCTGGAAGGATAATCATATAACTAGTAATACTGGTTGCCTCTAGAAAGGGGAACTGGGCTGGCTGGGGCCAGGAATAGAAAAAGAATTTTCATTTGGGGGTGCCTGGGGAGGCTGAGTTGGTTAAGTGTCCAACTTCAGCTCAGGTCATGATCTCATGGTTCGGTTAGTGAGTTCAAGCCCTGCACTGGGCTTTCTGCTGTCAGCATAGAGCCTGCTTTGGATCCTAAAGCCTGCATCAGATCGTCTGTCCCCCTTGCTCTCTGCCCCTCCCCGCTTGTGCTCTCTCAATATCTCTCTCAAAATAAATAAACAAACAAACAAAGGCTAGGAAAGAAGAAATTAAAAAGAAAGAATTTTCATTTGAATTTTGATCTGTATGAAATTACTATCCCCTAAATAAAGTTATAAATAAAAATAATGGAATCATTTCTTTCATAATTGTAAAGAAGCCCCAACCCTCAGAACAAGCAGTTGCCAGCAGTTGCCAGTTCATCTTTGTTGTAGAACCCTGTCCTGAAGCCTTTATAGTTTTCCTTTTCTTTCCATTTTTATCTTTATGGCCTTGTACATGGATCTCCACCCATCTGGCCACAAGACTTCCTTCCCATCAAGGCTGAATTGTATCTGGCAGCAGGACTGCTATAAAGACAGAAACTCCCATCTGTATTTAAGGTCTGAGAAATGAAAGTAGATCTCTGTAACAAAAGAATTATATGATGCTGAAGTCCAAAACATGTTCACATCTGCACTAATGGAAGGAAGCCCATTTGTGGTTAATCTGAAAATTTTATATATTATCTTTAAAATAGTTCTATCTCTACTTTTAAGAACTGGAGTGTGCCTGGTATACTGTGTGAGGAAATAAAACAACATTCTGAAAATCAGATTCAGGAGGAATTAGGAAACTATCAAATTTCCCCAGGGTTTTCTCACACCTCCCCTGTTCCTTTTTCCTTAAAAACTCTCTTTGTAACTCACTCTGTACTGGTAAAAAATGTTTCAGTTTAATAAAAAGCAACCACCTAAGAAGACCTACATTTAGTAAAATCCCTAGTTATCTGAGGTTTCATTGCCAAGCTACTTGTGAAGTGAGTTTGAACCTAACTATCAGTAACTAGAATGTAACACTACATCTCAATTAATCTGTGGAAATATTCCCCTCGGAATTAATCTTCAATAGCCACTAAAATCTAAAGGATAATGATATTAACAGAAAACATTCACACAGACCAGTCTATACACTGATCACAATTCTAAAGTTTATTATATACCAGGGCCCCTGGGTGGCTCAATTGGTTAAGCGTCCAACGTTGGCTCAGGTCATGATCTCACAATTTGAGCTCCATATTGGGCTATGTGCTAACAGCTCAGAGCCTGGAGCCTGCTTTGGATTCTGGGTCTCCCTCTTTCTCTGCCCCTCCCCTGCTCATGCTCTGTCTCTCTCTCTCTCTCTCTCTCTCTCCCTCAAATATAAATAATTTTTAAAAAACATTAATATTTATTATATACTCATTTATAATAATCAGATGAATATTTAGAGTGATGGCAACAATTTAATGATTATTAAGTAGTTCTTTCTTTTTGTAAAGTTTTATCTATATCTTATACACAAAACAAGAATTTTAGATGAATTCTTCATTCAACTTGCCGACAGTTTCCTCATTTGATGAGGGGTTGAATTAGTGTTTCTCTATGTTCAAGGTCTAAAAGTCTATGTACTTTTCTTATTAAACCCCATGAATTTATGGAGAACATTAAACATTGTCAGTTCTACAAACTACAAAACCTTGGGTCAGATTGCTGTCTTAAATATGAACTTGTACTACTACTGTTTTAATTTCTACAGTTTATAAAGATGAATCTTCAGTAAGGTCACTGGAATCTGGTTCATTGCAAATACATCAAGCATCTAAATTCAACCCTAGATTATGCAATCTTTAAAAAGGATCTGATTACTATGAGAAGACTACAGTCAAGGCTGCTAATACGTACACTTCCAAGCCTTTTTCAAGTATTTCCCACTATTCAGGAATTAAGAGAAAAAAACATAAATCATTATATCATTAACAGCAATAACACATACTGAGTGTTATGTGCTAGGCACTATGTCAAATGCTTTATTTGGATTTTTTTCCCATTTTAATCCTAATGATACCAATCAGACATATTATTACTCCAATCTACAGACAAAGAAATTCAAGGTCAGAGGGGATAAAAAATTTTCCAAGGTCATCCAGCTAGAGCCAGGATCTGGACCAAGTCTACTGGACGTTTTTTTTTTTTTTTAATATTTATTTATGAGAGAGAGAGAGTGTGTGAGCACAAATGCACACAAGCACGCATGAGTGGGGAAGGGGCAGAGAGAGAGACAGGGACAGAGGATCTGAGTCGGGATCTGTACTGACAGCAGACAGTGCAATGCGGGGCTCAAACTTATGAACTGTGAAATCATGACCTGAGCTGAAGTCAGACGCTTAGCCAACTGAGCCACCCAGGCACCCCCCAAGTCTATTGGACTTTAAAGCTCATGCTCTGGGGTATCTGACTGGCTCAGTCAGAAGAGCATATGACTCTTGGTCTTGGTGTTGTGAGTTCGAGCCCCA